ACATTAAAACAGACACATTTAATAGACTAGTACTGATAAACATGATGCTGCTTGACTTTTGGAGTGTGTTGTGCGCTGTCATCATGACAAAGACTACAGAAACGCGTGATTAAAGCTATTATGTGTAATAATGTGTTGAACATAAGTGCTAAACAGCAGTGGTGGAGAAATCCAGTAAAAGTCCCATTACTCCCACAAAAATGCAGTGCGAGTAGAGTAGAAGTATCTGTTGTGAATATCAGGCTGCTTTCACACCTACTCTTTTGTTTGGGAACGTGTCTCGATTGCCCAGTTAGCGCGGTTCGTTTGGCAGATGTGAACAGGGCAATCGCTCTCTGTTCCGCGCTCCGGGATCGCTTGAGTGAGGTGGTCTCGGCTCGATTGAAATGAACCCTGGAGCGGTTCGATTGCAGTGAGAAAGCGATCAGATCCGAGCGCAGTTATATCACAGTGTTATGGATATGTAATAGGCTTACGGCTATATGAAGAGAGAATTATGATGATGAGTAGGGCGGGAAGTTTCCAAGTCTCCGGATGCTCGCAAATCTCCCAGTGATCTCGCGTCTCTCTCCCGGTCCTCAAATAGGCATCGTCGCGCACCCTTCTCACCCCTCCCCACCGCGTCTCTCCTCAGACACGTCGCGCACCCTGTCAATCACCACCAAACCACCACCTCTCCTGACAGCTGAGCGGGACGCTGCAAAATAAACCCTGACACTCTGACCAATGTGAGGAGAGTTTACTCACACGTGACTTGTTTTAGCTCTTTTGGTCCGATTAGAAACTTTGCAGTGTGAAAGCGAACCGCTCCAAGAGCAAAGAGCAGCAATGTAACAATTATAATCTCTGCTTCAGAACAACTGAATCCATTCACAGATGTGAACGCACCCTTACTCAAACTCTGAGTAAACAGTAGCGCTTCTACAGGTACTCGAGAGTAGTGAGACGTGAGAGTTACGCTGTAAAAAAGTTGTATTGCATTTATATGCAGTTTGTGCAGCGATGTGTAAACGTAACATTCTGTAGTGCATTTAGTGATCTTCCTATATTAGTTTGGTCCTTCCTTCCTTCATTTGCTCGCTCATTCGTTCTTTCGTTCATCATTTTTGTTCTCTTCCTTTGTTCATTCCTTCGTTTGTTCGCTCCTACCTTCCTTCCTTCTTTTCCTTCCTTAGTTTGTTCAGTCCTTCCTTGAATCCTTCCTCCATTTGGTCCTTCCTTTCTTCATTAGTTCAGTCCTTCCTTCGTTCAGTTCTTGCGTGTTTTATTCCTCCCATTCAGCAGTAGTTTGAGGCTGTTTGGTGATTTTAATCATCATACAGTCGACTTGCTTTATTTATTTATTTTTTACAGGCGACATCTATATTCCTTCAGTGACATCCAGTCTATTAAAAGTGTGTGTGTCCGTGTGTGTAAGTGTTTTCATCTTCTTGGACGTGTTGAATGATTCTGCAAGGTTTGCTGCATTTATTTATAAAGTAGAAAATCAGTCCGGTTATTATCAGTCCTGCCTAATCAAATCACACATAGACAGTAAATCACAAGATACTGAACAACATCACGACACGGGCGCTTGTGATATCTTGTGATACATGCCCTTCCAGCTGCAACTCATCAATGGGAAACACCCATACACACTCATTTACACTCGTACACTACAAACAATTTAGCCTACCCAGTTCCCTATAGCGCATGTTTTTGGACTGAAACGCGGAGGAAACCCACAACAACACGGGGAGAACATGCAAACTCCACACAGAAACAGCAACTGACCCAGCCGAGACTCAAACCAGAGACCTGAGTGCTGTGAGGCTAACCTGCTACCCACTGCGCCACCATGTATGGTTACACATCACATCATTCTTCAAGGGTCTTCTGTGTTCAACAGAAGCCAGACGCTCGTGAAGGTGTGGAACAGGTAAAGGTGTTCACTGCGCTCTAGTTTTGGGTGAACTGTCTCTTTAAATGACGAGTGGTTATTGTGTTGACTTGGAAACATAACTCCAGAAAAATGAGCCGCATAACTGGCGACCGCAGAAACAGCAACAAGGTGTGTTTGTGTTTGCTGATATTATCAGAGTCATTAGAGAAGCATCCATTCCTGCAGCACTGACTGTAGACACACACACACACACACACACACACACACACACACACACACACACACACAGTCTGTCGTGTTTCTAACATAACTAACTCTGAGATCCGGAAGCGTTTATAAACCAGCACAGAGCTCTGTCTTGCTTCCAGACTGATGAGTGGACATGAGGGTATTGAGCTTGTGTCAGGAGAAACTCTCTCATGATGTGTGAACACAACACTATACTCTACTCTAGTGTAGAGGATGATCTGCTGGAGGAGGAGTGTGTGGAGATCTGCACTATAATCGAGACACACACTGATTTGAGAGCAGTGAAATGTGAGCAGGTCTGTCTGTCTGTCTGTCAGTGGAGCGCCGTCACCTCGGCGCAGTGGATTATGATGATGATCTGATGATGAGCACACGACTGACTGACATGCAAATAATGAGGAGCAGTCAAGCGTATTCACTCCGTTCACAGAAATATGCGCGCAGCTCTCGGTCGAACTGGTTAATGCCTCACCATTCTGTCTGTCACCAATTACATCATGGCCATTGTGTGTAAACTAGCTCAGTCTGGAAACAGCCCTCGTCACTCCATCAGTGATGCGGCAACCGTTCAGCTCAGACTCTCATCTCTCACTCACTCACAACTGTTTCACTTCTGCTGAGCACTGAAGAAGATGCCTTTTACAGCACCATTGACTTCTATTCGTGTTTCCCACCCTGGAAGTCAATGGTTACCTGTGTTGAACATTCTTCAAAATATCTTCTTCAGTGTTCAGGAGGAGGACGAAGCTCATAAAGTGTTTATAACCTCTTGCGGGAGAGTAAATAATGAGTGAATGCTCATATTTGGGTGAACTGACCCCTTTAAGACACAATTCACACCATTCACTGCTGGATGATCACCTGTCTGATATTAAGATATGACCTGTTCATGAGCACTTACAGAGCAGCATCTTACTCTGCACCCCAATCTAACACCTCAACCTGTTAATAAGCAGATAGTTTGTGGTTTATTAAGCTGAAAGTCTTAATTAGGCGTCACGGTGACGCAGTGGTCAGCACTGTCGCCTCACAGCACTCAGGTCTCTGGTTTGAGTCTCGGCTGGGTCAGTTGGTGTTTCTGTGTGGAGTTTGCATGTTCTCCCTGTGTTGGTGTGGGTTTCCTCCGGGTGCTCCGGTTTCAGTCCAAACACATGCGCTATAGGGGAACTGATCAACTACACTGTATGGGTGTTTCCCATCACTGGGTTGCAGCTGGAAGAGCATCCACTGTGTGAAACACATGCTGGAATAGTTGTCGGTTCATTCCGCTGTGGCGAGCCCTGGTGAATAAAGGGACTGAGCTGAAGGAGAATGACTGAAGCAGTGCTGTAGTGTCTGAATATAGTGTTTTTATTGATTGTATTGATCTAATCTGCTATTGATTGGTTGATTAACTCACACAGTGCTCGATTACAGAATCACCCTGATCAGTGTAAGTGATCAATTATTTCCAAACAGAGAGAGTGAAGACATCTGCTGGAGTTATACTCGCATCACAATGCTTGACCAGCATCATGCAGACTTACTGCTGATTGATTGATTAAATAATTGAATGATCAGTTGTGTTGGTTATGTGTGTGTGTGTGTGTGTGTGTGTGTGTGTGTGTGTGTGTGACGGTTGCTCCTGGCGTGTGAGGGTCCAGTCCTGCTGAAAGCGAGAGTGGCAGGGCGTCTCATAATGGGAAGATGCGGTGGAGTGTGTGTCTGTGTGTGTGCACTGGAGTGTGTGTGTGCGGTGGAGTGTGTATGTTCCAGACGCAGACCCTGGTTCCTCCTTGTCAGCAACGGGTCGTGATCGTGGTCCCCATGTGTGTGTCCACGGCCCACATGCACACACACACACACATGCACCTCTGTGCTGAGTGTCTGAGCTGATGCGCTGTGGTTTATCTGCGCACACACACACACACACACACACACACACACACTTTGCTTTCACACACGTGTTGCATCATCTGAGCAGCTCTACTGTCGATACACAGATCTGTTAAACAGCGGGAGGAGATTCATTAGCTGAGCGGCGCCTCTTCAGCAAACATATGCTGGAATAGTTGGCGGTTCATTCCGCAGTGGCGACCCCTGATTAATAAAGAGACTACGCTGAAAAGATGATGTCTGAATCACTAAATGGACAGTAGTGTGTGTGTGTGTGTGTGTGTGTGTGTGTGTGTGTGTGTGTGTATCATTTTACATTTCGCATGCCTCACTGACACACTCTGAGCTGCTGGATGTGTGTGTAGCGTAAGGGCTGATAGGGGAGAGCTGCTGTAATGGAGTTTAACAGCACATGCATGTTTTCCCCGACAGCATACACGTGTGTGTGTGTGTGTGTGTGTGTGTGTGTGTGTGTTCAGTGGTGGCGATGATGAAGACTGGTGTGTCGAGTCTCCTGGAGTTTACTATGATGTACACACTCAGGGTGTCTGTGGTCCTTTACTGACTCTGTAGGTGCAGAGAATAGTGTCAAACAGCCGTGTGTGTGTGTGTGTGTGTGTGTGTGTGTGTGTGTGTGTGTGGGTGTGTGTGTGTGTGTGTGTGTGTGTGTGTGTGTGTGTGTGTTTCTGTGATTGATTATTGATCTGTTTTTCCTCTTCTGCTCTTCATAGGTGTGATGGAGGATCTCTGGCTGAACACAGGTGAGTCTAGAGGTAAGAGTCAGTGTGTGTTTGTGTGTGTATGTGTATGTATGAATGTGTGTGTGTGTGTGTGTGTGTGTGTGTGTGTTTCCGTCTTTGCTGTGCACTAGGGTCACTAATTTTTCTTCAACACAGGAGATTTTGCTGACGTGTGTGTGTGTGTGTGTGTGTGTATGTATGTGTGTGTGTGTGTGTGTGTGTGTGTGCCACATGTTGGGTGGTCCTGCAGGTCAGTGTGTGTGTGTGTGTGTGTGTGTGTGTGTGTGTGTGTGTGTAATAATCCACCAGCAT